CAAGCCAAAAGAAATACCAAATTGTGTCTTTCAGAACTCAAGGTTATCACCTATTGTAGGTTTCTGTCATCCAAGCTTCAAAACTACCCCAAGCGGCAAATGTTCTACCAAGGTTGGCTTCTGACTTAAGCAATCTCAAGGTGAAGTTTCAGGAATCTTTCAAGAAGTTTGGGGCCTTCGTCACAGAGATGAAGATGGAGCTCAAGGATGGGACTCAGCAGGGGGATCGACTGACTGAGTCTCTGGCCAGCATTTAGTGATATGGTTTCTGTGGTGTTGTGTGGTGGTTTCCTGGTGGATGCATTTGCAGAATACAGTACAAACTCATTTGGTGACTGTTGGGTCACATCATCCCCAAAGATTATGTATGCACCAATCAAAATTACGACATCAATACCATTCGATGTAAACATGATACATATATATGAATACATGTACATGCACATGTACACAATTATATATAGATATTTATACACATGTATATATATATAAATATTATATATATATGCCCATGTCTCAGGATTGATCCATTATTTCATTCTGTATCGAAGACTTTTCCATATATCAAACATGCATGGTCATGCATGGGGCCCTGTGGCTTCACTGATTTTCTGCAATGGGATTGATTGCAATGGAGACTGATTACAACGACGAAAGTTCTGCCTGGCTACAAGAGCTCATCAACTACAATCGTTCACAGGCTAGGGTGAGATATATGCTGTGCTTGTTTATTGTGCAAATTTCGATTTGTTTTGATTAGGTGTATATATATATATAGCATGAATATATATATATATATAGTATATATGTATTCATAAATATATATATATATGTTGTGTCATTTGTTTTCTTCCTCTCTAGGCTATGAGTCTCCGAGAACTGTGATGCTTGAATCACCTTTGAATTCAACATTTGCTGAGTCCATGATGCATTGCATATATATATATATCTACATATAAATATATGTTTGCAGGTTCATGGTGGATATATGTTGATACCATTTGGTGAAAATTTCCATGTCCCCAGCGCCAAATCAACCCTGGGTCATCCGGCAGGATACTCGCAGTGAAGCAGGGCCTTCCATGGCAACGATGATTTGTGCAGGCTACAACAGCTTTCCGGGTTGGCTTGCATGGATTCTCACATCATCACTATATTGATTTTCAATTGATTAGGATCATGCAGCTATATAATTTTTATATGTGCATGTACATTGACTGCATATACATGCACATGCATGTAAATATATATACAATTATACAATTGTATTTACATATAAATTTGCATAATTTCACATAACAACAGACAACAACAGACAATCACAAATATTGTTGACATATACCTTCTATATACCACTATATACCTTCTCACCCCAACTTTGTGCTGCAAGGCCCTCCTGCCACCTCCTTTGTGCCAGCCTCTTCTGGCAAGTCTCGACTGTGGTCGCAGACCTTGGATGATGATGTTTTGCAACTTGAGCGGACATTGCAGGCATTTGAGGCAATCGATAGGGATCACCGATTGAGTTTCAGCCTACCTCGAAAAAGGTCTTTACCTAGAGCAATCATGAGGCATGTCTTTGAAGTTACCGACAGCATCCTTGAGAGACACTACCCTTTGATTTACAAATTTGGCTATTGCCATTGTGCGCACACGCGCTTCTACAACAAAAAATTTGGCTATATCTCCGATCCATATGACAAATGGGAGCACTTAAAGGTGTTGTTTGTCTCAGCAGAGCCTGTTGCACCTGGTTTTGTGGAAGCCTCTTTGATACAGAGACACAAAGGACTCTAGTCTATATTGCAAGTTCTTTTTTATGCAACATTTTGGTTTTTGTTACAAAGATGAATACTCAGAGTCTTTGTTATATCTTGTTTTTGTATTCTTGGTCTGTTACACAAGCCATGTGCCATACTGCCCCCTGCTACTTAGGAAGCTCAGGCTGCCGCAACGAGAAGGACGGTGGCGAAACCATCGATGGATCTCAACCTGGGCCATTCATGGTCTACATTGTGTATAAGTCATTCAAGGTGACGCGCTGATGCCAACATGCGCAAATTTGGGAATAAAAAGAAACGGTCAGCTCACCCCACTTGGTCATTCATAGAATGCATGGTCAAATGGGCAATCTTTTCAACACTAAGGCTTAAGGATGAGATCACCAATGAAAAGAACATCGTGAGACAGCTGATTCTTGTTTGCATGTCCCTCTCTATATTTATATATGCACAAAAATGCACGTTTTGATTCATATATATTCATGTCAACAAGATGCATATATTGCAGACCTGCATAGAGTGACATGCTGTCATGCATGCTTGTGATATATATATACATGCATGCAAATGAATGCTTTTGACTGTATGCATTGGTTCAGTCGATTCCTGTGTTAATATTTTCAATGTTTTTTGAACACCCTGCTTATGCATAATGCTTGCATGCATTGTATTTCTGTTGGTGTTTGCATGTGTGTCCACATAGATGCAAATCCTGCCCCCTCAACTTAGGTGCACTGACTGCATCGCTCTTGAGAACGACCAGAAGCACGATGCTCATACACAAATGAATGCTGTTTTCTGGGGTTAAATTCATGTTTCAATGCTTTCAATATATATATATGCATGCATGATTACATATTTATATATATATGCACAAGGTTCAGCGATGTCGCAAGTTTCACCCATGCAAATGTCTTGATTCAAAAGCTTGGTACCCCAGGGGTATCAGAGGTATCCCATTCCTGTCCTACTTCAGGTCACTCATCAAAGATGCCAAGAAAAATGGACCGGAGAAGCCCACCCCCAAGGGGAAGGCCAAGGCAAAGGCGAGTAGCAAAAAGCCCAAGGCCAAAAAGGCCAAAGAGGCCAAAGTGCCGAAAAAGACTCCCAAGGGCAAAATGCTCAAGCGCAGGGCTGCTGAGGAAGCAGGTAACGGTGAATGTGCTGAGCCTCCGGCCAAGCCATCCCGTCGTCGCAGGAAGGGTGCCTGAATGGCATTGAGAATCCATGATCGTCGGCAATTGTGATTGCCTCATGTTGCATGAACATATTTTCACATCTATACAGTATATATAGTGTTTCCATCTTTTGTTTTCATCAAATCGTTTTATAATTGTCAAGCTGACTTCTTGGATCGAAACTTCTTTGGGGGTGCCACATGTGGAGAACCACATGTGTTGATCAGGAGATCATCCCAAAATTTTGTGGGTCTGCTGCCGTTCACTTGCATTCCAGCACGAAGCTGTATCGGGGTGCTTAGGGTGAAGGGAGCTCACACTACATACTTTAATCTTAAAGCCAGCAGTGGTGTTCATGGTGACCACTCCAGAGCTAGAGCTACATGTGTGAAAATGGGCTTCGGCGTCGTGCGCAGTTGATCCTTGAGATTATTCATTTTGAGACCCATGCACAGCTTCAATGCACTTTATGTGGTGTCAAAACAGGTCGACCCATGAATAAAGCTAGATAGATTGACTGACAGATATACAAATATAAAATAAATATGTATAAATAAATATATATATATAATATGTATATAGCATGACATTTGTATATATATACATATATACATATATATATATACATACATGTATAATTTTACATATATACATACATACATACATACATACATACATACATACATACATACATACATACATACATACATACATACATACATACATCATACATACATACATACATACATACATACATACATACATACATACATACATACATACATACATACATACATACATACATACATACATACATACATACATACATACATACATACATACATACATACAACATACATACATACATACATACATACATACATACATACATACATACATACCATACATACCATACATACCATACATACCATACATACCATACATACATACATACATACATACATACATACATACATACATACACAGTTGTCGCCTTCACCGTGACTGATCCCCATCCTGTCCAAGCCAGGTCCCTCGCATAAAGCTCGACAGCTTGCATGGCGGTATGGGAAAGGAGAAACTTGGCCATGCAAGAAGTATCATGGTTGAAACCCATTCCAAAATCACAACAAGCCATTGCATGCATATACATATATACAGGTTTTGACTTGCAAGCATTCTGTTGAAGCATCACTAAATGAAAAAATGATAGTTGTTTATTTTGGAATTTATAGGTCTTTGGCCCAATGCTTTTTCAACATATGTATATATATTCACGTGTATATATACATGTCCAATCCATGCCCAGTATTGCAATTGAGCCAGTGCAGGCCAAGCGGGCAGACCCTGTTTGGTGCGACATGTGTATATATATGAACACTATTTAGATTTTACATAGCATCTGCATGCATCTATGTACATATATATATACATATATGAATAAAGGTATTTTAGAATATAAATTTTCCCATGTCTATGCCTGGGGCGCCCAGATATACTTACATTTGCCTTTTGCGTTTGTACAATGTGCATATGTGTATATATATATATACATCGTTTCACTTATATGTATGGTGCCTATATGTATATATATATGTCTTTGTCATGCAGCCTGCTGAAAACCTATATACATGTAGAATCATGACTTGGGTTCCTTGCCGGCTCCAGGAACCATGCCGTGAAATAATCAACTTTGCAAAGGCTGAGTGGCGGGATGTTCGTGAGAGTGGTGCCAGCTCTGGCTTATGTCCTGTTCTGACTGCTCTTCGAAATGCCAATCCCAAAAAATCAGAGTCAAAGCTTATAAAGTGTATATATATTTTTTGATCATTGTTTTCAAAAATAAATACCAGTAATTCGGAATCAGTAAACCTGTTTGATTTGTTGATTTTGTTTTTGCTTGTATGCACAAGCCCAGGAAGAGGAGGTCGAACGAGTTTTCAACAAGAATGGCCTGCTCTACCCTATCCCCATCTCTACAGAGAGTGTTGCACCTTTGGAAGGGTTCCCCTGGCTTAAGCCGCGAGATTTCATCAGGTGTATGGCGCAACACCGGGATTTGGGTCACATACTTGCAGGTTTCAACAGTATAGCTGATGCAAAAGTAATGCTCCGCACATTTTGGACTCGCTACCGGAAAATCTGTCCTGGCTTTCAACTTTGGCAACAACTTGACCAGGGAGTCAAAAAGATGGAAGAATGTGTACCATTATACCTTCATGGAGATGAGGGGGTTACCTACAAGCGTGGTGGGGTATTAATATTGTCATTTCAATCCCCGTTAGGATTCGGTACATCGAAGGGTGACAAGGATCTATCCCTGAACTTGCAAGATCTTGGAGAAGCAGGGCTTCCACTGAATTTCAACAAGAGTGGCATGTACACACGCATGCTTATGGTTGTGTGCCCCAAGGAGCTTGTTTTGAAAAAATGTTCATGGTGCAAGTTGTTGTCTTTACACATGATATGTCATCAAACATCTATGTCTCAGCCCTGGCAGGATATGTACAAGGAAGATCCAAGGGTGTGGAATGCGATCTTTGAGCGGGTTGTAGCTGATTTTTCACATCTTGAAGAACATGGATTAGACCTGGGCACTGATGGCAAAATTTTCCCCATCATTATTGGCAACAAAGGTGATTGGTCATACCTGGTGGCTTGGATACTCAAAGATTTGGTTTAATTGCCATTTTTGCATTGCCATGTTATCAAAAGAAACCTTGTGTTATATACATAAACGGGTACAGTAGCAAGGGTTTCTTTCCATTTCCAAGTCTGTGTTTTTCCAGTCAAAGTGAGTGGCAGGTCACTTCGGGAAATTTAGAGAGGTCGTACCGAAGGAGTCCAAAAGGTGCAAAGGAAGAAGGTAGAGATGTAGAAGGTGCCGGAATTTGTCACCTTTGCCTTGGAGGCCAATCCTTTGATTGGGAGAATTTGCATCTTGGTTTTTGTTTTCTTGGTTTTGTTGGTTTTGGCACTGTTGGTTCTTTTTACAAAACAGGATCATATTTATATATATATACATATATACACATGTTACATGTCTGTTTTTCCATGCAGTGAAAATGTTAGTTTGTTTTTAAAATATATATGCATGTGTGCAAACATATGTATATATGACTCATTTTCTGCACAATTTGGCTGATACAAGGCAAATGGCTGAAAAAGCCATGGCAGAAAGTCGAGAGCATGCCCTTCCAGTTCCATGGTTTCGCGAAGCTGCCATGACACGTATGTTGATCCATGACTCTGGCTGCAATGGCAAGTCTCGGTTCTATAAACTTGACTTGTGGCATGGATTTCATCTAGGCATTGGCAAGTCATGGGCAGCAGGTGGGCTCTTGATGATTCAACAGTTCCTTGAAGGGGGCAACATGGATGACCGCTTCAAACAAATGTCTGCTATGTACGTGCAGTTTTGTAAGGCCAACAAAATTGACAAGATCATCTCCAAAATTGATAAGTATCTTTGTGGAGGCGGTGGGAGTGCAGAACCTTTGGGAACATGGAACAAAGCAGCCGTCACTACAAACCTGTGCCTCTTCATGGAATGGTTTTTCACTGAGAATCCTGATGTGGTTACCCATGATGATGGTGTCTACTACATGGTGACTTGCTTTCAAGTTGGGTTCATGATGCACATGTGTTTTTCTGGGGTGGTATGTTTTTTTCACACCTTTATGTTGCCTATTTTTTTCCTGACAAACCCAGGCACATGGAACTGCAAAAATCAACTCTACATTTCGACGTTTGTACAGTGGAGATTTATGGCTTCGCCGTGAATTGGGTCTTGAAATTGCAGGGGAATTACTTCAGTTCATTCGAAGCTATTGCTTTGAAGCATGGTTCCATTTACAAAAGGGTCAAAGCCGGTTTGGTATGTACCCCGAGCTGCATTTATTACACGAGGTTCATGGCCAAATGATTTGGGAAGCTTCCAAGTCTGAATGGATTTACAATCCCATTGCTGAGACTTGCTCAATGGATGAGGATTTTGTGGGACGATGTGCAATCTTGACCAGGAGTGTATCTCCAAGACTAAACTCTTTAAGATCCCTTCAGCGATACCTCGCGCAGATTCAGATGAGCTGGCGGCACTGAAAAAGTTGGGAAAGTGTTGTTAGGGATGTTGGTTGATGTAATGTTGTTGCACGGGGGAAGTGATATGTATATGCAATGTGTGGATGAATGCATGTATGTTCATGTGGGCTTTTGTTTCAGCATAAATATATATATAGCATATATATATACAGTATATGTGCATATTTTGCATGCATTTGTATATATACATATACATGTGCGTATATTACATGTATATATATACATGTATGTATGCAAATATACATGCATATATATAGGTATATATACACATAATATATATATATGTATATATATGCATATAAACTGCATATATATGCATATAAACTGCATATACGTAAAAAACCGTTCGTGCACGTAAAAAACCGTTCTGGAGTAAAAAGCATGGTTGTGAATGGGTGTTATGCTACATATGCGTGGTGAAGTGTAATTATACCTTTCAGGGTGCCCCAGGTAATACATAATACATAATACATAATACATAATACATAATACATAACATCATATATACAATACGAAATAGTTCAATATATCATATATTATGATGCAATATGAAATAATATAATAAAAATGGAACAATAACATGAATCTAATGGTCTAATAACTGTCAATATTTATCAGATCTATCAGATCTTATCCGCTACTCTTCTCGCTGAGCTTGCGACGTTTTTTGGGTGCTTTGGCTCCCACAGGATCGTGCGTTCCGGCTTTTTCGGCTGAAGGCTGAAGGTGTCCCAGGGATATGTTCTGAGATGCAAGACATCACCATGAAATGCTGCGATTCTTAGCTGCTTTAAAGGGCAAAAATGCGAGAATCTATTGGTAATCATATAATCATGAAACCGAGACGTGGTGAAGAGCACAAATGATATCCAGTGGTTTTCAAGTCCCCTCGCTATTTGTATTTTTTAAAACAAGGTCTCGTTCTTAGGTACATTTCAGTTTATCTACATGTTGCCTTGCTGCAGCTGACTCTCTCTCTCTCTCTTAAAAAGTTCATGTAACGTTGCAGCTTAAACCATCAGCTCAAAAGCGGGATTGGACGGAAAGTTGACGTGACCACTGGGTTGGATGGTTCATCAAATCTTATGTGTATATATATATATATACATATTTATTATGTATATATTTGTTATGTATATATTTATTAGGTGTATATATATATATATTACAATGTATATATTTATAACTCTGTATATAGTTATATTATATATATACATTATGTACACACATATGAATGATATAAAATCACCTCTAACTATCTGCTCTTCCCCTTTCCTGCGAGGCCATCCTTTTCCGCCAGCCCCTCTGTGCATGGGGTCCTCAACGTCCCCTCGAACGACCATGCGAAACAAGCAGTGAAACGGGAGCCTGCTAGAAGCTCCATGGGCAAAATAAGATGCGACGTTTGTACTGGCACCATGGGCTAATCAAAGAAGACTCTGACAGATGCAAGGGCTCGCCGACAAGACACAAGTCCTCGGACACTCAACATTGATACTAGTAAATCCCAGTTCATTAGTTCATTCATTATGATAATCCCCCATATATATATATCCATATATATCCATATATTGGGTAGTATAATCTCCTGTAACCCTAGGGCGTTAGAGCCCAGTGCGTCTGGATTTAGGTCTTCTCATGTAGCCAGTTCTTCAGCGAGGTATAGGCCTGGCTGGGAAATCCCCGCATCTTTCTGTGCAAAATATGGGAACATCATCGAAGAAAATGAGGAAATGACCAGCCATATTTGAGTACCAAAGGCTCTTCATTGTTTGAGGACTTCATGGATTGTGAATTTCAAGATATTGAATATATGAATATATATATATCTAATAATATGTATATATATATATACGAACATAGAATCTCCATGAAAGCAGTTGGCAGCAACCCACAGGACATACCATCAACCTCCACGGCCCTTGGAAAAAAGATAGCTGCAATCAGTACATCAGTGGTTGAGCCCACAAATATCTCGAGTCATACAAGTAGAGGTGGGTGTCACTCCATGTCACCCCTATATTATTGAGGTAAAACATGGTAGAACCCATATGAGCAGTGTTCAAAACCTCTGTTGGTTGATGATTAGCTCTGGGACTTTGGGAAACGTGAGGAAACGTGATGATTAGTTCGGGGATTATACTACCCCCAAAAAAATTGGGCTTGTAATAATCCAAGAATGGGGAATCCCTATAAACCAACCAGTATATGTATAATATTTCACTCATCTGAATTAAGGCCATTTGGGGATGATTCCCCTTACTAACCATGATTCCAGTGAGGTGCAGTGAGGTCGTTATAATTTACCCAGATATATTAGATATAAAGGTTGATATACATCTATATACCATATATACCATCTGGTTATTTAACATAGCCATGGAAAATCCCATATATCCCATATCATTCATACATTTCTGGTTACATAACTTGTTGTTCCCCCCCGGATGTCGCCGCGATGTCGCCACGTTCCCCACCTGCTCAACATCCAGGGCCAACTGTCTGCTCTGATCCTCCGAGATGTGATCTGATGCCTTAGTAAGTCAGTCGCGGCGATGTGGTTTGGCTACAGCCATAGTACAACATGTATAAAACAATATTAGTATATGAAACACATAATGTACTATGGTTGTACTATGAAACAATATCTGTATATGAAACAACATAGTTTATTGTATAGCAAACCATAGAGTATCTGTATATGAAACAATATGGGTATGGATCAATACCTATGAAAATACCATTTTTAGGGGGATGAACATCCATAAATCCCAGCTATTTTGATGTGAACTACAGGGGTACAAGGTTTTTGACACACTGCCATACTAGTATAAAACTCTATAAACGAAAAACTGAATATCATAAGATACAAATTACACTCAACGAAAAGATCATATCTAGTATAAATAATTATATCATCTCATATCCATGGATAGGTCTATATACATAATAAGATACATATTATATATACACATATATATATGTAAGTATAGAATCCCCTGCACTGATGACGTTAAACTTGCCGGGGCAAGTTTGGCGGGATCCACAGTTTTCCAAATTGCCATGGAAAAATCCTGAAAATTCGCATCTATCATTATTATTATTACTGTCATTTTGTATTATTGCTACAGTCATTACTATTACTATAAATTATTGGATATCTTTCCATCGTTTTTTGTATTGTAGGTTGTTTCAGCGAAATTCACGAGGCCCGGACTTTCATGCTGTTCAGGGTCACCAACCACCTAAGCTCGGCTCGCCGGCGAAGTAAGGGATCAAACCTTGGAAATCCGTCTGGAAACGAAACACCACTTTTTTCAGAAATGATTTTCACCATTGCCATGTTGGAATATTCATCAAATGTTCTGCTTCAGTAAAAATTACATCAAACTATCCATATATTCTCACGGCCCCAGTATGTGTAGCATCACTGGGACAGGCCCGAAGGCCTCACATCCCCAGCACACCGTTGCCAATCCATATATTCTCAATGAGAATTGATCCCCACATGGATCTGATCATGAAAGTGTATCGCCAATTCATCCAGCCATATGCATATCTATGTATGTATATATATATAAGTAACATTCAAAGTAACTGAATCAGATTTCAATGTAATTGAAGCTCAGTGTGGCTAGTGGAGAGGGAAACCCACTGGTGTGGGTGGGGGCTGAGCGCTCTCCACTGGTGGTGGCAGCTTGCAGCCTCGCAGAGCAGGCCAGCAATCGTGGGGTGGCTGGTGCAAATCATATGATGGGTGGAATGTGCTCTAATCATGTGGGTTTGATAAATACCAAAAATGGGATTTGCATTTTTGAAATGTTTCAAATCCGTATGGATTTGAAACGAACTCCAATCTCAGGGGCTTCACTAATACAATACCATTCAGTTTGGAACATTTGGAGCACCACAAAATCATTTAGAAGTGCTCCAATCATATGGATTTGCTCAACACAAAACCATTGGGTTTGGAACTCATAATCATTCGGATTTGGAGAGTGCTCCATCATATGGGTTCGGAATACAAAACCATTTGGATTTGGAATGTCGTCCGATCATATGGGCATGGACACGCATCGAATATATGGGCTTTGGAGCATTCGTTGATGATGGACCCGCCCGAATCTCCCTGATTAACATTTAGGCTCTTTCCTGTGGTGTGGGTGCCATGGGAAAGTCGCTGGTTCAGCAGCTGATTGAAAAGAAAGAGAAAGAACAACAGAACCTAGCCAACAAAATTAATATGTGGCACAACGATGTTGATGATGAACATGATAACTTAAGATGATGAGGATGATGATGCTCAGTGTGGTGATGTTGGTGACAATATTTGTAACCCTTTCATGCCTGATGACATTTCCAAAATGAAATCCATTGTTGAATTAAGGACCCTCAAGCGTCCGAGCAGCAAGATCGTGAAGCAGAAACAAACTGCTGCAATTGCTGTGACCCCGCCGCCAAAGATTTTGCCACTGGGCCAATATATGGGATATAAAATTGCTAGACTAACACGGTGGGATTTTACAGGTTTGTGGTACAAAATGTGAAGTTGTTCAGCATGCTTCCATTTTGTTCTTGATATGGATATGTAACAGCAACAATCACTCAGCTTCATTGGTGGCTAAGGGACCCTTATCCACTGCCCGCACGAGCTTCAGAGCTGGGGATTCTCAGCTGCACTATGTTGTAGACCCCCAACCTTTGACCATCTTTGACCCTTTGACCCCTGAGCCCTAAGCTGCCCTTTCACCATTGCCTGCTCAGGAGATGGGCCAAGATAGTTCTCCTTCGTTGTGGTCGCATCTTTGGGGAGGACCACTGCAAGGAAAGGCTTATTAAGCCAAGGGCTTGCTTTACCATGTTTACAGGGATCGATTGCGCGCAACAGTCATGGAAATTCATTTCAGCAGCTGCCCAAGAGCTTTGGGGGATCAAAACCGGCCTGTACTTCTCATTTGGAGCAGCGTGCTCTAATGTGGCAATGTTTTCCCATACAGTAA